ATTATTACTAAATTATTTATATATATCATTGGCAACGATGTTAGAGTTTGTTAATTAACAAACTAGTTAAGCCTCCTAGATCAATTTAAAAATTTACATGCATGATCTATATGAATAAAATTATTAATTTAATAGTTCATTTTTGAAAATATTAATTATAAGATGAGTTTTTAGATAAATACTTTAAAAATTTTTTGAAAAGATGACCTATAAAACATTTTTCTCATATATATATATATGTCTTAAGAAAAAAATTATATGTAATCAATTAGTAAGATGTCTTTGTCATCACAAATTTAAAAAATGATTGGTACATATTCCAATTTAATACATTTCACAATACTCATTGATTCAGTCATTAAATTTTATAATTTTTGATTTTCTCATCTTTGATTCAAATTTAAAACATACAATTTTTTAATAAATGTGTAAATTATCTTAAATTAAAAGATGTACCAATCATTGTCATACAAATTTATTTACTTTTTAATCAAAAATAAATATTTTCTAATGTTTGGGAACTCTTATTGATAAATATATTACTTGTATGATATAGAAAGCATTTACCTGGGTTTTGAGTCATATTTCTTGAAGAAAGGGGAAATAGAGAGGTGAAAATGCATATTATTTATTTTATCGAAGTATACAGGAATTAAAAACAGAATTATTGTTGATGATTAATCTATAATTTTATTACTTTAACCATTAATTACTAAAAATGTAATTTCACTTGGACTTTTTTTTTTTTTTGACCAGGGAAATTGTTGTTAGAGTGTTAGTATCTCACTTGGACTTTTAAACCAATAATAATAAAACTATGTTAAATTGCATTTCTCTCTTCTCTTGCCAAACAATGGTTTGAATCTAAACATTGTGGACATTTTCAAAAAAAAAATTACTAAAAATGTAATTAAAAGGAATAGTTAGTGTTAATTATATATCCATTGATGTTAAAGAGGCAGAAGCTACTCTGTCATTGGAAGAAGCTATTGTTATCTCGAAATCCACGTTACAGTGGCTATGCTGTTGACCTCACATGGAATTTAATTAGTATACTTTATTCAAATCTCACTAATTTTTTTTCGTTTAATATTTTGAAATAGGAAAAATAATATTTTAAAATTATTTAAATTGATTGATTTATTATTTGAATATTATCATAATGAAGTATTATTTATCATTTAAGGAAAAAAATTTCAATTAATAAAAAACCAAAAAATACAAAAAAAATATATTTATTTATTTCTTAATTTTGTTTTCTGGCTCTACCTTGCATGTAGTTTACGATTTTGCTGTATAATTTAATATTATTTACGGTGATTGGGAAAGAATATTGATTAACTTTGTACATGTAAAGGTGAAAGGAATTACAGGCAGCACATGCGAAAGGATTGGTCCGATTAGACGGACGCACTTGTGGAAAAACATACGTTGACGAGTGCCATTGACTACTGTTACTGCGTG